CCCGGCTACTATGGAGATGCCACACGGCACAGCTGCAGGCGTGAGTACCCACTGCCATGTTGAGACAGACTTGCCCCCAGTGACTGGCACGTCCCTGGGGATGATGTGCACACATGGCTGCCCTTGCTTGTGCACAGTGCTGTGGAATCCCTGCAGCTCTCAGCTGTCTCCTCTGCCCAGGCCCAGCGCTGTGGCCCCATCCCTGTCCCCATGCCCAACTTGTCCCATCCCATCTATATCCTCATTCCATGCCCATTCTTGTCTCTACTGCCATCTCATCCCCTCTGTCATCCATCTGTCCCCATACCATTCTTATTCCATCTCTATCCCAACCCTGTCCCATCTTTATTCCATCCCCATCAGTGGTCCTCATGCTGCTCTCATCCTCCCAGCTCCATCCAGTCCCCACCGTATCCCTGCCCATTCTCTGTCTCCATCCTGCATTCACCCTTATCCATCACCATCCCATCCATCCCTGTTTCCCCAATTCAGTCTTCAGTTTCATCCCCACCTCTGTCCTCACCCTGTCCCCATCCCCTCCCAATCCTTCCTCTCGTCCCTGTTCCCACTTGTTGGTTCCAGGTTGTTCTTGCAACCCCCTGGGCACCGATGCCAGCACCTGTGGGCCCCAGCAGTGCCACTGCGACAGGCACAGTGGGCAGTGCCACTGCCTGCCCAACGTGGAGGGTCAGAGCTGCGACCGCTGCAGTCCCAACTTCTGGAACCTGGCCAGCGGGCAGGGCTGTCAGCCCTGTGCCTGCCACCCCCAGCACGCGCTGTCACCTGCCTGCAACCAGGTGAGACATGACAGGGATAAGGGACGGGGGGATGGGATGGGGCTGGGAGTGCCCTGCAGCAGTGCCAGCCCTGGCCACGCTGTGTCTGTCAGTTCACAGGGCAGTGCTCCTGCCGGCCAGGCTTTGGGGGCCGGACTTGCACCGACTGCCAGGAGCACCACTGGGGTGACCCACGGCAGCAGTGCCGAGGTGAGAGCCGGTGCCAGTGGGGGGACCACAGCAGGCCACATGGCACACTGACACCACTCTCCCTGCAGCCTGTGACTGCGATCCCCGTGGTGTAGCCAGTACGCAGTGTCACCGCAGCAGCGGCCATTGTGACTGCCGGCCTGGCGTCTCTGGAGTCCGCTGTGACCAGTGCGCTCGAGGGTTTTCTGGTACCTTCCCTGCCTGCCAGCCCTGCCACCCCTGCTTCGGGGACTGGGACCGTGTGGTGCAGGACCTGGCTGCCCGCACCCGGGCGTTGGCACAGCGGGCCAGCCTCCTGCAGCATACCGGGGCTGCCGGTGCCTTCGAGGGCACCTTCCGACAGCTGGAGCAGAATCTGGCCACCGTGCGTGACGTGGTGGCCACCCGCAATGCCACCGCCACCACCGCCGCCCACTTGACACATGCCACAGAGGGGCTGCGGTGAGCACCCGGCACCGGGCAGGGCTCCTGGGGTGGCCCCAGGGTGGGTGGTCACTCCTTTCCCTTGCAGGCGGCAGATTGAGGAGGCGACAGAGAGGCTGACGCGGTTGGAGGGGGAGCTGACGGCTGCTCAGGATGCCAACTTCAACGCCAGCCACGTGCTGAACGCCGTTGACCGGGGCGCCCGTGCCCTCAACCACAGCCTGCAGGACCTGGAGCAGCGGCTACATGCCCTCAAGACCTCCAATTTCCTCGGTGAGCCACACCACAGAGCCAGGCCAGGGTGGTGGGGCTGTGGCTGGCAGTCTGACAGTTGCCCCTGCCGCTCTCAGGTGCCTATGACAGCATCCGTCAGTTCTTCGGGGAGTCGCGGGAGGCCGAGCGCCGGGCAGACGCCTCTACCCGTGCCGTGCCCAGCCCTGTCAGCACCTCGGCAGCCACCCGTCACCGCACAGAGCAGCTCCTGGCCAGCCACCGGGATGACTTTAATCGCCATAACGCAGCCAGTCGGCGGGCACTGATGGATCTGGCAGAACGGGCACAGGCGCTGAGCCTGCAGCCGCTCAACGAGAAGGTGGGATGCAGGGAGGGGCCCAGGGGAATGGTGCCCAGAGCTGCCCTGATCCCATGCTGTCTTGCAGGTCTGTGGTGTGGTGGGCAATGTGCCCTGCGCCGAGAGCCCTTGTGGGGGTGCTGGGTGCCAGGATGAGGATGGGGGACGACGCTGTGGGGGTCTGAGCTGTGGTGGAGCTGTGTCTAAGGCTGACAGCGCGCTGGACCGGGCACACCATGCCCAGGAGGAGCTGCGTCAGGCTGCCAGCGACATGGCCCAGCTCTCCCACAAGGTGTGTGGCACACAGGCAGTGGTGGGAGCAGGTGGCACAGCCATGTCCCTCAACCCTTGGGGCTGGCACCGAGGGTCTCTGCCCATGTTCAGGTGGCCGAGGCCAAGGGGAAGGCGGATGAGGCTCGGATGCGAGCACAGGCAGCCCTGGACAAGGCGAACCAGACCAGGGCCCGAGTGGAGAGCTCCAACAAGGAGCTGCGGGAGCTAATCAGCCATGTCAAGGCCTTCCTGAGCCGTGAGTGCCGGCATGCCGGGAGAGCTGGTCCCCCTGCCCAGTGCTGGGGAGCTCTGCACCTGCACCACACTGCACTGGAGCCTGCACTGCATCACACTGCATGGTCCCCACGCTGTGGCTGTGCCACCCCTGCCCCACACTGCATTGCACGGTCTCTGCCCTACCCCAACCATCCTGTGCCCTCCAACCATCTCCTGTCCCCTGCCCTCTGCTTCTCTCTGCTGCTCGGTCTGCCTGTCCCTTCGATCCTGGGGTGCCTCAGGGGACACACTGACTGCTCCCACCCGCAGAGGAGGGTGCTGACCCCGAGAGCATCGAGGTGGTCGCCAGCCGGGTGCTGGAGCTGTCACTCCCGGCTGCCCCGGCTCAGATCCACCGCCTGGCTGAGGAGATCAAGACGCGGGTGCGCAGCCTGGCCAGCGTGGATGCCATCCTGGAGCAGACAGCTGGTGATGTGCGTCGGGCTGGGCAGCTGCTGCAGGATGCCCAGCGGGCCAGGTGAGCCCAGGGATATGGGGGCACAGTCCCTCCAGAAGTCCCCAGAGCAGGCTGGTGCTGAGACCTTGCCAATCCGGCTGTAGGTCGCGGGCGGAAGGTGTGCGAGGCACAGCTGAGGCGGTGCGGCAGGCGCTGGAGGAGGCGCGGCAGGCCCAGGGCATGGCCGAGCAGGCACTGCAGCAGGCTGCCGGTGACATCCAGCACAGCGAGAGAGCTCTCGGCACGGTAAGAGCCCTGTCCCCACCACCGCAGCCCCGCGGGAATGCTCAGGGCCCCATCCCCACCGTGCAGGCGCTCTGACCACACCAGTCCGCTGTGCCACTCTTCCCCAGATGCAGACCCAGACGGGGAGTGCAGAGCGGCAGCTGGCAGGTGCCATGGAGCACATTGGGCTCCTGGACAGACAGACAGACGCCCTGAAGGTGAAACGTGCCAACAACAGCCTGGCAGCCGTGCGCGCCCAAGAGGCAGCAAGCACCGCACGGGACCGCGCCGGCGAGGCCAAGCAGGTGGGTGACTGGGGGGCACAGAGGGCAGCAGGGGTACCCCGAGGGTCCTGCTGACCAGCCCTGCTGCCCTGCAGGTGCTGGAGGGGCCACTGCGGGACCGCTACCGCACAGCACAGGAGCTGGTGGAGCACCGGGCACAGGGAGCGCGGCAGGCGGGCAGTCGGGCACAGCAGCTTCGGGACGAGGCCGCGGGGCTGCTGCAGGACGCCCAGGGCAAGCTGCAGCGGCTGCGAGGTGAGGCCGGGGCAGGAGGCTGGGGGGTTGCAGTGGCAGGGCACCAGACTGACCTATGTTCCCCCTGTCCCTGCAGCGCTGGAGGAGGAGTACGAGCGGAATGAGCGGGTGCTGGACGCCAAGGCAGCCCAGTTGGGTGGGCTGGAGGCCAGGATGAGGGAGGTGCTGGACACCATCAACCAGCAGGTCCAAATCTACAACACCTGCCAGTGATCCCCCGGAGGGGCCTGGACCATCCCCCCGGAGCCCCCAGCCCAGCCCCCCATCCTCTGCCTGTCCCCGCAGCGGTGGGCAAGGGTGGGGGCTGCGGGGCACCCCCGTGTGAATAAATTTACAGAGCAAGACCGCCTCCCCTCCGCCCCGTGCCGTGGGCCCCGTGTCCGCACCGGGGGCCCACGGCGGCTTCCCCCGGGGTGGGAGCTGCCCGTCTGCAGGCGTGGGGCACTGGGGGGCTCGGGGTCGGGCGGTGGGGCCGGGGGCTGGCTGTGGCACTGGGGACACGCTCGGATTGGCACGGACCGGCCCGGGCCCCGCGGCCGGATCGGGCCCCGCCGCTGCCATGGGAACGCGGGGCCGCCCCCGCCGCGGTCACGTGACCGCACCCCCCTCCCGCCGCGCTCCCGCGTCACGTGGGCGCGCCCGGCGGCTCCCGGAAGTGCGTCACGGGCTCGGGCCTGTCTCCGTTGTCGGCCCGCTCGGAACTTCGGCGCGGCACAAACAGACCGGAGCGGCGGGCGGGGCCGTGAGTGCGGGGCGGGACGGGCCGGCCGGGACGGGGCGGCGGGCGGGGCCGTGAGGGCGGGGCGGGACGGGCCGGGGCGGCGGAGGGGCCCGTAGGGCGGCGCGGGGTGAGGGCCGCGGCAGCGGCGGGCAGGGCCCGGGGGCGGCGTGAGGCCGGGCTGCGGCCCGAGGGGCCGGCGGCGGCGGCGGCGGCGGCCTGGGGCGGGCCGGAGGCGGGAGGGCGTGGGGACGGCAGGAGCTGCGGCGGCGGGCACCGGGATCGGGGCGCGGCGGGACGGGCGGAACGCGGCAGCCCCGGGCAGGAGCCGCCGCCGTGACCTCGTGCTCTGCCCGCCCGGGGCAGCGCCGGGGCCGCCTGTGCACGCGGGCCGGTCACCGTCCTGCGCTCCCGCCCCGTGCCCGGGGCCGGGCAGCGGCGCAGGGCAGGCCGCGCGGCCGGCGGCTGCTGTCTGCCCGCTCCCATCGCTGCCCTGCCCGCGGCGGGGGCTGAAACCGGATGATCTTCAAGGTCCCCTTCCAACCCAAACCGTTCTGTGGTTCTGGATCTGTATTCCATATTCCCCAGACTGGGGAGCTGGGCCTGCCGGGCAGCTGCTTGCTGCTGTCACGGCGTGCTGGGGTCGCGGTGATTTCCACACGGGCTGGAAACATTTTGTGTGGTAGTGCTGGATGGAGGAGCTGCCCCAAGGGGCTCTGTGCTCCACCCCTGTGTTAGGCACGCCAAGGAACTGAAGTGAAAGATGGGTTTGAGCCTTGGGATTTCTATCCCTCAGGGGAACAGAAGGTGGCAAAAATGCACATGAGAGATGTATTTCGGTTTTGGGACATGGAGGAGCCAAAAGTAAATGGAAGGATGAGGCTGGTGGGATAGCCAACTTGTGCAGCTAGCCCTGTAAAGGCCTTTGGGCGCTGATGGGGAGTGCTGCAGGCAAGAATCAGGGAGCCTCTTCCTGCCAGGTGCTAGATGTGCCCCAGACTTGGGGTGCAACTTGCATCTCATCGTGCACCTTCTGCTGTCCTGCCCTGAGTGTTTACACCAGCATGGTCTGGTACAGCCGTGAGGAGGGGGTGCCCCTTCTCCTTGGCCTCTTGCTCCCTCTCCTCTGGCCAGTGAAAATGTTTGTGCAGTCCCAGCACAAATGAGCTGGGTTGGGAAGCTGATCTTGGGCCAGAGCAGTTTTGCTCTGGCTGGTCTCTGGATCCCACAACCACACTGGTGCTCTCGCTGGCACAAAGGCAAGGGGAGCGGAAGACAGGGAGGCACCTCCTCCTCCAGCAACAGCATGGCCGGACCCCCCTGGCTTGCAGGATTGAGTAAGGGTTTGTAGGAGTGCCCAGCTCATCAGGTGCTTCCCACAGGTTCACTTGGCATCCAGCCAGGGCAGCCTTTCGCCGTCTCTCCCCTGCAGTGACTCCTGCTGTGCCAACAGGAGTGGTGCCAAAACCTCGGTGCCCCTGCACACCCGGGGGCCAAACGTCCTTCCTGGATGTGTGTTCCCTGGTGGCAGAAAGGCTCCCATTCACCTGTTCTAATCCCTGAATAACCTCTCCCAAAACCCCGAGGTGCCTGCAGTGGCCTCAGGCTGCCATCAGTCTGGCAGCTGGAATTGGGCAGAGCTCCAACTCCCTTGGTTCTTGCCTGCCATGAGGAATAACTGTCGGTGAAGGACCCGAGGGAGCAGAGCACTCAGTGAGGCATGAGAGCAGCAGGCTTCTCCTGGGAGAGTGACAAGCAGGCACGCAACCCTGTCTCTTCTGCTCACCTCTTCTTGGGTAGAGGCCTGTCCTTTCTCAGCCTCCAAGACCCTCCTCAGGGGTCACGCTGCCCAGCAGTTACCCTATTCCACCCCTTTGGGAGTGCAGAAAGGAGGTGATGGAGCCTCACTTGGCCCTGCACAGAGCAGTCAGTGCTGCTTGTCTCCCATTCCTCCTGAGGTTTTCACCCGAGATGCAAAAGAAATACAGCAAAAAATGCTTTCCCATGTTTGCCAAGCCCAGGTTACCTTCCTCAGCTCCAGGAAGCATCTCTAGCCAACCTGTTTGGGTGTCTCTGGGGACTGGAGCTGAATGGCAGCATGCAGCTGGCATCAGAGTCCCAGGCTGGCAAATCACAGCCATATTCCCTGCTAGGGGGGCCCTTTCCCATTCCTTCTGCAGTCAGAAGTGCTTCTGCATCCCGGGGAGACGCAGCCTGTGTAGCAGCTTGAGGGTGATGCTGCTCTCCTCCCACACTCTTTCAAGCTCTTTGGGACTGATGCTGGGCCCTTCTCAGCATCCCAGTCTCCAGGTGATTTTGGGTGGCAGGAATTTGTGCCTGGTGGTTGGGCTGCACTCAGCTTTTCACTTGTGGCTCTTCGTTGTGGTGGCAGGTTGGCCCGAAGTGAAGCAGTTTGGGCGCAGTGCCTGTTGTGGGACTGACTTTGCCGGAGCTGAGGGCAGGACAGGACTGCTTTTCTCTCTGGGGTCCCTCGTAGTCTGTGGCTACAACTCCACATTTGTGGCTACTTGTTGCTCCAAACGTTTCTAGAACACAAATGCCCTGGCAACATGGGGCGGCAGCACAGAGCTGGCATTTTCCTCCCTCTGACCGAGCACCTCCCTCGGACGTGCCCCCCTGCCCCCGCCTGTGCCCATGTGGAGCGTGAGGTCAGTGCTGGGTACAGGGGTGAAGGCAGAACAGGGTGTTCCCCAGGGCATGGCTTGCCTCCCGCAGTGGGAGGCTCAGTGGAGCTGGGCTAGACCGAGATGCCACGGGGCTCAGCTCCGTGTCCTGAGATGGGAGCGTGGCCGTGGGAGGTGTGTGAATCAGCGCGCCGGGGCTGCGGCAGGCTGCCGGCACCCGGGGGTGGGCACGATCCGCGCGGCGGGGCCCGTCTCCCTGCAGCAAACCCTGCAGGCTGGTGAGCGCTGCCAGGGCGTGCAGCTGGGGCAGCGAGGGAGGAAACCTTCCCAGCTTTCTGCTTTCACCACCTCCACGGAGGAACCTTGAATGGGACTGTTTTCGATGGGTTGTTCCAGCTCTCCCGTGTCCAAGCCGTGGACACCTGAGGGTGAAACTGCTGAGCGAAACAGACCAGTCCTTGGGCCGGCAGCTCCCAAACACCGCAGGGGAGCTGGCTTTGCAGGGAGAGCGTGTCTGAGGGGGCAGGGGTGAGCGCCCTGCGTGCCCTGCCCAGCCTGACCTATCCCTGGGGCACAAGGAGCAGAGGTGTCCTGTTTCCAGGCCAGGCCCCGCTGACGCTGTCTGTAAAGTGGCTGGGAGATAAATATGCAAGGTGCAGTCATGCTGGTTAAGCTCCCAGCTGGTGGGCGAAGGGGGGAGGAGCCCTGCTTTTGCCAGGGAGCTTTGCTGTCATCTGTCACAGGAGATTGTCCCAGGGCCTACTCCTGCTGCTCCCCTTTCTTCCTTCTTAGGGCGTTACTGGCTCCTGTTCTGGCCCTGCTACACGGGGGCACTGTTTGACTGAAATAGCTGTCACTCCAAACTGTGTTGCAGGCTGCCCTAGTTAACCCCAGAGGCTCAGTTTTGCAAATCCAGGTCTCAGTGTGCAAGTGTCCTTGCCCTCAGCTGTGCCGCCGGGTGTTGTTACTGTCAGCGGCTTCTCTGGGCCAGAGTTGCTATAGTGGGGGCCATGAGCATGACAATTGCTTTCCAGGTTTTTAATGCGTGCCACATACAGAAGACCCCTGGTTGTATGTTGGGAGCTCTGACAGGCCCATGCTTTTGGCTGTAAGCATTGTAGCAGCTGTGATGAGGTAGGTTTCCTCACTGAGCCCTGTGTGGGGCTTCCCATAAACACCGCAGTGAAAGTCGTGTGAGGGCACTGGCCCTGGGGCAAAGAGCAGATCCTGATGCTGTTGGGCCTTCTCCACCTGCTCCTGCTGCCACGCTCGCTCTGTCCTCTTTTTAGGCCACTACTTCCTTGCCAGAGAGTTTGACCACAGAGAGTCGCCAAGATAGCTGGGCCAGGAAGAAAACGTCGCACCCCTGACCCAGACTCCATTACCGACCCCGGCGGGCCGTTTGTGTCCTCCAAACGGCTGAAAATGTCCAGCAGCACCAATGCCCCTGGCCAGAGGAGAGTGTCTCGGGGCTTGGATGATGCCACCAACAAGAAGAAGCAGAAGGATCGAGCCAACCAGGAAAGCAAGGAAGGTGAGAGCCCCTCGGCAGCACTGTGGTGAGCAGGCCCGTGGTGTCTCGGCCCCGCAGCCTGGGAGCCTCGCAGCCATCTGCTGCAGGATAAGCAGATTTGACTAATCACTTCCTGCAGCTTATGGCAACCCTTGTGATGTGAGATCCTCTTCAACACAGTGTCCTCCCTGGACTTGTAGCCTCCTTCCTTTGGGTGCTGCCTAGCCCTAGCGATGTGAGGAAGGTTGGGCCTTGTTAGCTAAAGTCTGGAGTTGGCCTTAGTGGTTGTTTCTAGGCTCTGCTTTTGATTGGGTGTGACCTGCCTTGATCCAGGGGGAGTGGGACTGAAGCCTATGGGTGCTCTTGCAGCTGGAGGCAGTGCTGCTTCTTTCCCAACGGTTTGCTTAGGCCAGATGTTGTGAGGCGGAGACTGGGAGTGCGGGGCCTGCGGGTGGGGCTGGTGCTTTAGCTTCTGAGTCAGGGCAGGGTGTGGCTCAGGTGAAATAGTTGCTGTAGAGTAATTCTTTCTGTAACTGCCGTGTATCCAATGACAAAAATGATGCTTCAGGTGCAGGGAGTGGCTGTGGGCCTGTGGCCCTGGAAAGCTGCTTGATTTCTGTGCCTGCTCCGTTATGACTGCTGTAACCTCAAAATCACAGGGTGTTTTGTAGGCCAAGGTAAATGAGTGCCTGCTGAGGTCTGTGCTGGAGCGGCCAGGCACAGTCCCTGATGGAAGTCCCACGGTGCAGAGCACAGCACTGTGCTGTCCCTCACGTGGGGGATGTGCTGTACCTGGAACGTGGGGGGGTTCCTTGGGGGCGGCCCCGCTGCCTCTGTCCCCTCTGTGCAGGGTTGGTGAGGAGCTGGGGCAAGCTGTAGATCCCTCTGGCAGTGCTGCCGCCGTGATTCTCACAGTCAGCCCCGCTGGCACCTTTGCACCAGTGGCTGTGGTGGTCAGCAGAGGTTTCCTACTGGTTTACAGCCAGTCAAGGGAAGCAGGACAGCTCTCTGAACACTCTGGGGTGGAGACCACAGCTCCAGTTACCACTGTTTCTCTGCTCGGAGACAAGGTGCTGTTGCTTGGAGTCTCTTGCCTGGCAGAGCTCACGATCCTGTGGGGGTAGAGCAGGCCCTGAGACACTTCTGGGTGTCAGAGGTTATCCTGTGGGGAGCAGGGATTAGATGTCAGGTTGTTTTGGTTCTCCAGTCTGATCTGGAAGGAGGTTTTGGCTGTGGATGTTGGCAGCTTGTGCGGGAATGGAAATGTTAAAGTGCAGCTGGGCCACATGGTTCTCTGGTTACAGCAGAGTTGGTTTGAGCACAACCAAACACCAGGTTCTTTCTGTCAGATCAAGACAGGACCTGTCCATACAGCTGGAGGCTGGGGCCTGGTGCACTGAGCTGGGCTCCACAGTGAGATGTGCCTCAAAGCAACACTACCTGTATGATGCAGTGTAGTGTTGTTCCCACTGTGATGCTGCTTAGACTGGTGATGTGGCCCAGAGCAGCTGTCCTGGGGCTGCAGGCAGGCTTCTGGGGAAGGAGAAGTGTGAGGAAGCAGTGGAGGGAAATGAGTAGCACATGCAGAACAAAAGGCCTGCACACAGATTCAGGGGAGAATGAGGTGATGTGTGCAATTTTGGGTGCCAGCGTGCTGGCTCATGGTCTGAGGTGACAGAATGACAGACCTGCCTGCGCTCTGCTTCTCGCCCACCAGTGTCTCACTCTGAGCTCGAGCAGGCTGAGACTGCCCAGGAGAAGGACTCAGAGGAGGGTAAGTCGAGGTGTGCTCCAGCTGTCAGTGCATGGCCATGGAGTGCCTTTGCCAAGGGATCTGAAGCTCTCACCTTGTCCTTGTCCAATGCTCTGGCATTGAGCAGAGCTAACCTCAGCACTCCCTTGCCTCAGCGTTTATCTTAACAGGGTGTGGCCTTCCCAGGGGTGGAGAAAGGTGCACGTAGTTGGGAAGGGCTGCCTTCAAGGAAGAGGCCCTAGGCATGAGGCAGGCTGCTTCCAACTCAGGTGTCATGGTGCCACTGGGCACAGCCCTGGGACACCTTGCTGCTGACACTTGTCCTCCTTGTTTCTGAGCAGGACATTGTGCTGGGCTGGGAAGATCCCAAGCCATGTCACCCTGTGGGCAGGGTCGGCTGGTTTCTGTCTCAGTCCAGCCTGCTTTGAGGCCAGAGTAGACCATTCTCGTGCCACAGAGGGTAGAACAAAACTGCTTGAAATCGAGGTGATTGAAATCACCTTTTTGCCTGGATGACTTCAGGGCATCGCAAGGCCACACCTGGAGCCTGGCAGGCACACAGTGGAAGTTCTGCCTGCAGCAGGGTGTCACTGATGCACTGTTTTCTCCCCAGGTGCAGTGTACTTGCCCAGCTGGCCAGCCTGCCCATGTTTCAGTCATGTTAGCCATACTCACCTGGCAGGAATACAGTGCTTTGGTGGTTGCAGCTGGGCTGCTTGGTTTGCATATGCAAAGGGGAAGAGGCAATTTCTGATTGTGGTCAGAGTCCACTTTGAATCCCCCAGAGTAATTCTGTGGCTTCCTCGTTCCTTGAGAAAGCAGTAATTGCTTTGTCATTGGCAGGAGCCACCCCTTCTTCCTAGCTGCCACTGCTGCATGTGGCAATGCCAGGAGCAGGGCTGCCTTTCTGATCTCTCCAGTTCCCACTGGGATTCACCTGCTCTGCTGCAACACATGCTCTTGTTTGTGGCCTGTCTGATGAGGGCAGGTCCCATTTAGTTGGCATGATCTGTGTTCCCTGTGCTGGCCTCCTTAACTGAGCGTGTGTTCAGGCCTGCATTCCCCAGCCAAGGAGTGGGCACTTCAGGCTCATGCCCCAGCAAGTGGGTGACACTTCCCTCCCTTTTCCTAGAGCTGCTGCTGGACTGGAAACAGAATGCTGATGAGATCATCGTCAAGTTGAACTTGGGCAGTGGAGCTCTGAAGGTGGAGGATGTACGTGCTGATTTCACCGACACAGACTGTGTGGTCAAACTACCAGGTATGGGAATGGAGCGACTGCTGCAGGCATTTTTCCACTGGGACTTGGCACAGCTCTGGGCCAAGCACGGGGTTGATCCAGGCAAGCATCAAACTTTTCCCTCAGAGGCAGTGCCCTGTTGTCAGCTGGCAAAGCCTCAGCCAGCAGACAGGGCCCACAGGAGAGCATTGTAGAGCTGGGGAGGGCAGGAGCTACCCTTTGTGCCAAGGGAACAAGTGCCCGCTGCTGCGCCGGTGCGTCTCTGTCCCCTGCTTGCTGGGATGAGTGAGTCAGCCCCGGGATATCCTTTGGAAAAGTGACCATGCCCCTGAGGGCAGGGAGGCACAGGGCCTTCCCTCTGGGAAGGAGGCCAGCCAGATGTACAAAGCAAATTCAGAGAAGCTGGCTGGAGCCCTGGAAGGCTCCTGGGGTGTGGTGGCAGCTTGCCTGCAACCTTCTTGGCTCTGAATGAGTGCTTCCTTCTTCCTGGGGGCAGGTGAAAGGGGGCTGTGGGTTAGGTGACAGCTGCCTGGATCACTGCCTGAGGTACCCATTCCCCTCTGTTTACAGACGGGCGCCAGTGGAGCTGTCAGTTCTTTGAGGAGATTGAGAGCTCCTGCAGCAAGATCCAGTGCAAGAAAGGCAACTTTCTACATCTTGTGCTTCAGAAGAAGATCCCACTCCATACCTGGTCTTCGCTTCTGGTGAGGAGGGGAGGGTGTGCCTTTTCGGGGAGCTCATGGAGCCCTGGGGAGCTGGGGTGAGCGCTGAGCTCCCTGCTCTTGAGCCACCCAGGGGGAATGCAGGGCACATCCTGCCACAGATTGCATGAGCCAGCTGCCTTTGTCTCAGGGAGGACTGTGTCTTTGTACTTCTGATCTACTTGCCACATAGTATCCAGGTTCTAGAGCAGAGTCTTGGTGCACTCTGGGAAGGGAGAGGGAGGGTGAGGGGCTGGCAGAGAGCGTGAAAGGTGGTGCTACCTAAATACCTTCCCGCTGTGCTGCACGGCTTTTTACAGAAAAGAAGAAAAGATGGATCCAAAGAGCTGGCTAAAGGGGCCACGTGCTGGGAGAATGGGAAAGAGAAGGCTGCTTCTGCAGAGCTGATCCCTGAAGAGCCGAGAGCTGAAGGCACAGAGCCACCGAGATCCCGGCGGGAGCCCTCCAACCCCAAGCGTGCTCCGGGAAGAAACGAGGCCCTGGGAGGGAAAAGCCCAGCCAGCCCAGGGACACAGAGCGGCCCCAGCGCCAAGCGGGCAGTATACCTCAAAGTGGCTCCCACAGAGGAGGAGCTGAATGCCAGAGTCACCGGGAGCACAGAGCCCAGCAAAGGGCACAGCGGGAGGGCCGGCAGCCGCCGCAACGGCAAAACCAACCAGGTCGATGCGCCCGCAGCCCTGGCAGACATTGCACTGCCACTGGAAAAGGTACCTTAGAACCTGGCAGAAAGGGGCACCCCTGCTCCCTCTGCCTCTGTGCAGGGGATGCAGGATCTGTCCCTGCCACTGAGATGGGCTCCGGGGTTCTGAGGGCTGATGTGAGGAACTGGCTGTGGTGGAGGAGAGGGTGAAGTGAGGTCCCTGCAGTTGCTGAGCTGTGGCTCTAATGGGACTGAGCTGGGCATGGGATGTGTGGAGCTGTGCCTGCCTGGCTAGCAGGAGCCACGGGGGGTGGGCCAGGGCAGCTCAAGGGTGATGGTGTTATGTTTCACTGTGTCCTTCTGTATTGCAAGGCTGCGGTTTTGGCCAAGGAGACCGTTCCAGTGGAGATGCCGCCTCTTGCGGCTACCACAGAGGTGTTCCCCCACCATGTTGCTACCTGTGTGGAGAAGAGAGTCCTGCAGCCAGGCAGCCCTGCTGAGCCCTTGCGGGGCCGGGACTGCACGCCTGTCCTGGGAGAGAGCTCTAAGGCTGTTCCAGTGGCCTCCCCTCCCCTGGGCAGAGATGGTGAGAAGAGAGATTGGTCCAAGGATGATGTGGCTCTGGAAGCAGCAGCTGATGGTGAGTAGCCAGAGCCCATGGGGGGAGCCTGGTCAGGAAGGTCTGTCTGCTCAGGACCTCTCCTGGGTCAGCTTGCATCACTGTCTCAGCATGCAAGGAAGGTAACATCTCTCTCCCTGACTTTCCTTGATTAGAGCCAGAGCCTTTTGTGAGCCTGAGCTTTGTCAAGAATGACTCATATGAGAAGGGCAATGATCTGGTGGTGGTGCACGTCTATGTGAAGGAGATCCACAAGGAGACATCCAAAGTGTTGTTCCGGGAACAAGACTTCACACTGGTGTTCCAGACGAGGTACAAGTTTGCCTCGAGATGATGCCAGGCTGCTGCAGATTTCCTGGTTGCGGCTGACTACTTGTTTGTTCACCTCTACCCACTTCCAATTTCTCTGCAGTGACACAAACTTCCTTCGTCTCCATCCTGGCTGTGGGCCTCATACGGTGTTCCGGTGGCAGGTGAAGCTCAGGTATGGTTCCTGTCCTTCTAATCCACACCAGGGTGAGGGAGCTGAGAGTGCAGAGCTGGAGCAGGAGCCAGTCCCAGCTGGTGGTTCTGTGCGGGTAATGCTCATTTCTGCACCTGGAGTTTTCCCTTACATCATGTTGCACTAATGCCCCAAGTCTGGATTGCCTTGGCTGTGTGCTGGTTCAAAGGGAAGGAAATCTCACTGTCTCCTTGGCTGCAATTCCCTCCCTACATGTTCTAGAGCTCTTGGGGACAGAACCAGACCAACCAGTGTGTGCTCTGGGATGTATGTGCAGCAGGAGAGGGCGTGTGGAGCCAAGCAGAATGGGTCTGTCAGGAAAGGGGCCCTCTGTGTGCTCAGTGAGGCCAGGCTCAAGGGTTTCCACCCTGCTTTGCCACAGCTGTCTCGGGATCAGTGCTAGCAGTGTCCCTACTGCCTGGAGGCCATGGCTTTGCCTTGCAAAGGCTTTGACAGGTCTGAGGCTGCTGTGGGATCTGGGGCATCCCTGACTTGCTGCATGTCTTGCAGGAACCTTATTGAGCCGGATCAGTGCATATACAACTTCACGGTGTCTCGCATCGATGTCTGCCTGAAGAAACGCCATAGCCAGCGCTGGGGGGGGCTGGAGGCTCCAGCCACACGAGGTCTGCACCCTGCCTTGTCCTGCCTGCCACCCCAGTGGGGCATGGGCTCTCCTCACCGCCGGCAGCTGCCGGTTGGTGCTGGATCCTCCAGCATGGGGTTGTGGGGAAGGAGAGGGGCTGAGCAAGTGCAGGTAGGAGGGGTGTGGGGCAGGGCAAACCCAGTGGTAGGGGAAAGGCACTGCTGTTCCCTTTGCTCGTGGGATAGAGGGGTAGGAGAGAGCCTGTGTGCGAGCATGGACCGAGCAGCTCAGCCCTGCCATGGGCAGCGCACGGTGCTGCTAACCACAGGCCCACCCTTCCCCCTTTTTAAGGTGCAGTGGGTGGTGCAAAGGTTGCCATGCCTACAGGCCCTACCCCTCTGGATAAGAACCCTCCGGGCAGTAACCAACACCCCCTGTCCAGCAAGGAAGAGGCTCGAACCAGTGACAAAGAGAAGCCACGTGTGGAAGATGGGGGTCTGGATGGTGTGGCAGCCCGTACAGCCCCAGAGCATGTGGCAGTGAAACAAGAGCCACACATCCCATCGGTGAGTGGGGCCACACTGGATCTGAGCTGGGTGGAGAAAAGAGGGATCTCACCTCCATAGTGTCACTCTGGAGACTGGCAAAGTGTTCTGGAGGAGGAGATGTTACTCAGTCATAGCTGGCAGGATTAGGGGCAGCAGTTGGCCTGTCTATCCCAGTCCTGGTGGGAGATAGTGTGATGGCTCCAGCCTTCTCTGAGGGGTTTCTTGGGCTTTTGGGTTCCTGTGGTGTTCCCAGAGAGACCTCTTGGGCACAGCACCCTGACACCTGCCTCTGCTTGGCAGCCTAAACCAACGTGCATGGTGCCACCAATGACACACAGCCCGGTGAGTGCTGAGAGCGTGGAGGATGATGAGGATGAGGATGAGAAGAAGAAGGTCTGCCTGCCTGGCTTCACAGGGCTGGTGAACCTGGGCAACACCTGCTTCATGAACAGTGTCATCCAGTCCCTGTCCAACACCCGGGAGCTGCGTGACTACTTCCATGGTGAGTCCATGTCAGGAGCCCAGCAGGGCCTGGCTGCTCAAACGGTGCACCCTCACTCCTGCATCTCTTACAGATCGGTCCTTTGAGTCGGAAATCAACTACAACAACCCTCTGGGGACGGGGGGACGCCTGGCTATCGGCTTTGCCATGCTGCTTCGGGCGCTGTGGAAGGGCACACACCATGCTTTCCAGCCCTCTAAACTGAAGGTAGGGCTGCTGGCACCGGCACTCCACAGCTTCTGTGAGTCCCCAGCACTCCTATGTGGGCACCTGCGTGCCCTCCTAGTGCCATGGAGAGGTGGGTGAGTGTGGGTGGGTGCAGCCACAGAGGTGGGTTTGTGCGTGGTGCAGGCAGTGCTGCTGGGTGGCTGCTGGCCAGCCCTGACTGCTGTGCTCCCTGCAGGCAATTGTGGCCAGCAAGGCCAGCCAGTTCACTGGCTATGCCCAGCATGATGCTCAGGAGTTCATGGCCTTCCTGCTCGATGGGCTGCACGAGGACCTCAACCGCATCCAGAACAAGCCCTACACAGAGACTGTTGACTCGGATGGGAGGCCTGATGAGGTGAGGATGTCCCTCCCCAAAGCCATGGGAGAGAAACCTGGGTAGTTTAGCAAGGTGCTGAGCCGTTTCTCCCCACAGGTGGTAGCTGAGGAGGCTTGGCAGCGACACAAGATGAGGAATGACTCGTTTATAGTAGACCTCTTCCAGGGCCAGTACAAATCCAAACTGGTGTGCCCAGTATGTTCCAAGGTAGGGCAGCCCCAGGTGTTCTGTCCCTATCCATGCTGTGCCAGCAGCAGGCTTGTGACCCTCAGAGAGCACAGGGCAAGGCTGGATCTCAGATCCACTGAATGGACTGCCCTGCTGATCTCAGCCACAAGCACTTCCCATAACTGAGTGTGCTTTTGCATCTGCAGGTGTCTATCACTTTTGATCCCTTCCTGTACCTCCCCGTGCCTCTCCCCCAGAAGCAAAAGGTGCTGACTGTCTACTACTTTGCAAAAGAGCCACACAAGAAGCCCATCAAGGTAAAGGACACCACCTACCCTGGGGAGGGAGCTTGAGAGGGCTCCTGGAGGTGCCCCAGGCAGCTGGTCATGTGCCAACAGGCTAAGCCTTGTGCTAAGTAAGGGCCTGCATGCCTTGGTGTGGTGTGACTGATGTGGCACTTTCTTGGTGGCAGTTCCTCGTGAGTATCAGCAAGGAGAACTCCAGTGCCATGGAGGTGCTCGAGTCAGTGGGCCACAGTGTGCATGTGAAACCAGAGAACCTGCGCCTGGCAGAGGTGAGAGTGCTCAATCTGGGGCGCAGGCCATGGGCTGCTCTTGTGGGTATCCTGGCTCCCACAGCCCTTCAGGGAGTATGACCACTGACAGTCACTTGCCTGTATCCAATATGTCTGTGGGATGGATTTTGTCCATGGGTGGCAGTGTCATGGGCAGGGTGCTGCCAGGCAGATCCCTGCTCCAGAGGGCTGGTCAACTGCAGTAGGGCATGGGATGTCCCTCTTTCTCTGGTGAGATGGTGAGCTGAGCACAGCATCTCTGAGCTGCTGCTGTTCGCGCAGCTCACTGTGGGGCTGAGATCTGTGGCTGTCTGAGGAGAGGATGTGTGGGGCAACCCTCACACGGCCACGCTCCACTGCTTTCCTGGTAGGTGATCAAGAATCACTTCCACCGCATGTTCCTGCCGTCCAACTCGCTAGACATGGTTTTGCCGACAGACCTGCTGCTCTGCTTTGAGGTGCTGTCCCCAGAGCTGGCCAAGGAGCGGGTGGTGGAGCTCCAGGTCCAGCAGGTAAGAGGGGATGTTGGGACTACTGGGAGGCATGCAGGGAGGCTGAACCACAAGTGGGACTGAGCAGGAAGGGCAGAGCTTCACACAAGGGTGACTAGCTGGAGCAAGAATGGGTGCCTACTGAGGCTGCCTTGTCCTGCCCTGATGCCCTTCCCTGTCCAATGGGCCCTCTCTCCTGCAGCGTCCACAGGTGCCCAGCGGCCCCGTCGCCAAGTGTGCGGCCTGCCAGAAGAAGCAGCTACCAGAGGATGAGAAACTCAGGCGCTGCACGAGGTGCTATCGAGTCGGTTACTGCAATGTGTAAGTTGACTTGATGTCTGGCAGGGGAGGAGGGTCTCCTGCTCTGAAAAGCTGGATGGGAGAGCTCGGGCTAATGGGAGAAGGTGGGATGGGTCTGGCCTTCAGGAGGGAGCCAGGTGGGCTTGCGGTGCTCCCCTTGTCCCTAGGGCACTCCTTTTGGCCCTACCCTGCTCCTACCTGTGCTGGTCGCAGCTGCTGGATTCAGCAGGGGCCATATGTGTTACAGGGCATGTCAGAAAACACACTGGCCAGACCACAAGGCTTCGTGCCGGCCCGAGAACATCGGTTTCCCTTTCCTCATCAGCGTGCCGGAGTCCCGCCTCACCTACGCCCGCCTGGCCCAGCTGCTGGAGGGCTATGCAAGGTGAGAGTCCAGGGTAGAAAGGTGCTTCTGCCCTGGAGCTGAGCTCAGCCCTGTGCCTGGTCAGCTCTAACTCTCATCTCCTTGCCCAGGTACTCAGTCAGTGTGTTCCAGCCTCCGTTCCAGCTGGGACGGATGTCACCGGAGCAGGGGCTGCAGCCTCTGCACTCAGACAAGCTGGAGCCCCTGGCCAAGAGCAGCTGTGCAGCAGCCACCTCTGCCCCCGAGCTGGGGGAGGGGGACAGGGCTTCCAGCCTCCTGCAGGAGCCCCCACTCTCGCCAGCTGTGCCTGAGCTGCACCCGGAGATGGGGGACACTGGCACTGTCCGAAGCAAGGTCCTGACAGCCAGGAGTTCCCTGATGAGCTTGGATTCGGGCTTCTCTGAGCACATGGAGTCACAGGGTGACAGCTGTTGTGAGAAGGAGCCGTCCTATGAGAGAGCCATCAAGCCAGAAGGTAAGAGGTGCTGCGATGCTGACTGTGTCTGTGCCAGGAGCCCAGGCAATTCTCCCTCCTTGGGGTGACCTCCGCCACAGCATGTATTCTCCTCTTGAGAGCTTGCTCTGGAGGCTCCTGGGGACACAAATGAGGCCATGGGAGCTGTATTTTGGCAGTGTTGCCTCACCTGAAATACCTGCCTGCCCACGCTCTGCCTTGCCCTGGCAAGGTGCAGGGACTAGAGCAGAGACCTGATAAGGAGAGAGGCTGGAGCACTGTGTTGCTGTGGGAGGGGTGGGAAGGCAGGGGCTGGCAGAAATCTCAAGTCCCGTGGGAGCAGGGCAGAGCTGGTGCGGGCTGTGAGCCCCTGGGGGCCGTGAGCGAAGCACTTCCCTCGCTCTGACTCAGCTGCATGGGACCAGCCTCTCGCGCTCGGCTGCCTGGCTGTCACGTTTCCAGACACTCATCTCAGGATGGCAGCAATGTGCAGTGAAGGGGCAAGGCAGGCAGAGGAGCACAGCTTGCCAGGGGCAGGCGCCTGCTAAAAATAGTCAAGGACACGGGGCACGTGGTTGTGTCCCTTCAAGGCCGTAGCATGTGAGGTGGGGGTGGGGGCACTGCAAATTCTTGGCCCCTACGCAGGGCAGACAGGCAGTGCCACCACAGATCTGTCCCTGCCTGTTCACAGCTGCCATCCCTGGGTACCAACACACTCCAGACTCGCTGAGTGCCCGCGCCACACAGTTCTACATCAATAAGATTGACGCTGCCAACCGAGAGTACAAGCTGGAAGATAAAGGTGAGCCCTGGAAAGCGCCGCCTTCATCCCTTCACACCTTGTATGGGTGTGCCTGGCCAGAGTGCCACAGCTTGCCTGGCACAAGGTGAACCCAGGTGTGATGGTGGCCCAGACCGGACAGTGAAAGCTGCATCTGACACAGGGGAGGGAAGGGTTCTGCTGCACACAGCCTCTGCCTAGAAGCTCTTCTTGGGCATGACGTTCCTGCTTTCCTCAGCAAATAGGTCAATTCCTTCCAATCTCCTGTATCCGCAGGGGGTCTGTGATCTCTGGGTCACCTCTTTTCTGAGTGGGATGCCCACACCCAGTGCTGGTTGTGTGGGTGCTGCTGATGAGAGGGGCTGTGCCAGCTTTGTGCCCTGCTGGCCAAGGGGCTCTGCTGCCCTGGCATGGTGAACCTGGCTGGGAAACACCATCCTTTCTGGCAGCACTGTGTGATCTCTGCGTATCAAGCTGGAATGGACAAGACTGCTCCAAGCCCCAGCAAGGTGGCCTAGTCCAGCCTGGTAGGGCCAGGTGTGTGAGATCTGTGCCCTTTCACAGGTGACACACCCCTGGAGCTGACAGACAACTGCTCCCTCGCCCTGGTGTGGAAGAACAATGAGCGCCTGAAGGAGTTTGTGTTGGTGGAATCCAAGGAGTTGGAGTGTGTGGAGGACCCAGGCTCAGCCAGCGAAGCAGCCCGGGCTGGTCACTTTACTCTGGAGCAGTGCCTCAATCTCTTCACCAAGCCTGAAGTCCTGGCCCCAGAGGAAGCATGGTGAGGAAGGCAGCAGGGTGGGTTCCAGCCCACAGACCCAGGCAGCAGTGGGGGTTTCCCAGGAGCTGCTCCGGCCTGCATGCTGTTTCTTCTGGCAGCCAGGAACTCTGGGCTGGCCTTCCCTGTGCACTGGGGAGGGCGGCCATAAGCCAGCAGGGAGCAGTGCCAGCACTCTGCAGGATTGTGCTGCCCTGCCCTTTGGTGGAGGAGGCTGAGCTCTCCTGCATCCCCTCTACCAGCCCCGCTTGTGGGGACCCTGGAGCTGGGCTGTGCTGCGAGGCCTCCTCATGCTGGTAACGAGCACACTCTTCCTCCAGGTACTGCCCCAAGTGCAAGCAGCACCGCGAGGCCTCCAAGCAGCTGATGCTGTGGCGGCTGCCCAATGTCCTCATCATCCAGCTCAAGCGCTTCTCCTTCCGCAGCTTTATTTGGAGGGACAAGATCAATGACATGGTGGACTTCCCTGTCCGGTGAGAGCCTGTGGGGATGAAGTGGCCACTGCCTGTGCTGACCTGCAGCGTGGTCTCTCCCTGCCTAACGCTGATCACCCCTGACTGTCCCTGTGTCTCCCCCCAGGAGCCTGGACCTGAGCAAGTTCTGCATCGGCCGGAAGGGCGAGCAGCAACTGCCCATGTATGACCTGTATGCCGTGATCAACCACTACGGAGGCATGATTGGGGGCCACTACACGGCGTACGCCCGCCTGCCCAACGACAAGAACAGCCAGCGCAGTGACGTAGGTGAGGATCTGCCACCGTTGCTACCCCTCTGCTGCTGCAGCCGTGACCTGTCTGTTGGATTAACCCTTCTCTCCTCTCAGGCTGGCGGCTCTTCGATGACAGCACAGTCACCACTGTGGATGAGAGCCAGGTGGTGACCAGATACGCGTATGTCCTCTTCTACCGCCGGAGGAACTCTCCTGTGGAGAGACCCCTGCCGGGGCACCCTTCAGACCACCGCACTGAGCGCACCCCGTCTGCCGAAGCTGCTGCCAGCCAGGTGAGCATTCGTGTCCCTTTCGACACTGAGCCACAGAGCCTTGAAACATGCCCAGGTGCCCACGTGCAGGGCCTGGCCCATCTCTGCCTGCACCCACAGAGCCTTGGCACAGCTGCGGTGCAGTGCCTGCACCCCTTTGGTACCAAAGAGCTCGCACCAGCCGGGCGTTGGAGCCTGTCTTGCCTTGTTCTTGCTGTGAGCTTGGGACAGTCCCTGTCCTGAGAGATCACGGGAGAGCTGGTTCCCGTCATCAGAGTGGGAGTGCTGGTGGGAGGGCATTGGAAGAGGCAGAAAGGGCCCAGCCTTGCCAGGGTCTGCACTGAAGGAGGGTTGTGAGCAGTGCAGTAGGTGCTGGCTTTGGCAGGGAGCAGTGAGAACCTGCCCTCCACAGCTGCTTTCGAGGCAGGGTGGGGGATGCTTTCTACTGGGGCCCAGCTCGGGGCCAAGCTAGGTGCAAAAAAGGCAAATGCCAGCACTGAGCCAGAGGCCTGGCAGCCTTCACAGGGTGCTGGAGAGAAACCTGCCAGAGCAAACTCTGTTGCTGGGTGGCCTGGGAGGGAGGGGAGGAGGGAGGGAGTGGGGGTGGGCCAGACGGCAGGGTGCTCTCGACATGCAGTGGCAGGGAGTGGTTGGGCTGATTTTTGTGTGAATATCAGAAAGAAAGGCCCAGGCTGGGGCACAGTACAGTGCCCACCTGGGCAGTCCCCCCGCATCATTGTGCTGCAGACTGTCCCTCTGTGCTCAGCACTCCTGTGGCCTCACAGGGTCTGAGGACAATGCTCAGCTCATCTCTGGCATGACTGCACGTGTGTGCCCTGAGGGGCCCTTCTGGCCTGGCTTCCCTGTCTGTCTGGCTTCTACAGCCCTTGGCCCGGTGGTGGTTAAAACATCTTGGCTCTTGCCCTCTCACCTGGGGACAGGAGCCACCCGTCCCTGAGGCCAGGGGGGCTGTCTGGCATGTTTGGTGTCCACCTGCCCGGGCTGTTTTTGTTTTCGGGGACTGCATATGTCCTGGAGCAACTGTACTCGCTGGGGGCGGCCTGAGCAACAGGAGAGCTGTGCTGCTCCTCACACACCAGCGGTGGGAGCCTTCAGGAGCCCAGTTAGCAGTGAGGCTCACTGTACGCCCTGTGGCACTGGGGTTCATCGGGTCCCGTCGTGGTAGTGGGGCTCATTTGGCCCCTGGCAGCGTTGGATCCGCTGCAGCAATGGGATGCATTGGGTCCCACCGGGGCTCAGCAGGTCCCCGAGCACCTTGGACCACCTGGACCCTCCCAGGCACCGGGTGCCCTCCGAAGACCTGCGCCCCGAATGTCTGCTCTGCATGATCACGATCACCGGCATGAAGGGCCAAGCTGTGACTAGGTGCCTGTGGATAATCCTCCTGGAAGCTGGGCTACAGTTGGTTGTCAGAGCATTCCCACCCACCAAAGCAGAGCTGTGACTGGCTGTGCTGTGACTGCACCTCCTGCTCCTGCTGCCCCAACTGGCTCTGGATTGGCTGTCATCTGAAAGATCCTGTTGGGATCACAGAAGCTGGGCTGTGATTGGCTGCTGCCTGCTCCCTTGCCACCTGGACCCACCAATACAAGTGCATCTGCTCCACTGGGATCCAGCTGCCTGCTTCGCTCCCTGCAGTCCCATGAAGACCCTGCCCGGCAGCTGCCCGTGTTCCCTCCTGCAGAGCCACACACAGGAGCCCCACACACCGGAGACCCTGAAGAGCCGTGGGGGCGGGCGTGACCGCGACGGTGCTGCATGGGGAGGCGGGCTGGCTGGGCACGGGGCTGGGCTTGCAGGCAGCCGCCTGCCCCGGGGGATGGAGAGGGGTGTTGCCCGTTGTGTTCTCCAAGTGCTGACGCAGGTTTCCACATCGCAGGCTTCTCTGATCTGGCAGGAACTGGAGGCTGAAGAACAAGAGCTGCAGCTTGAGGCGCCCCAAAGGCCTGCAAGAAACTCCTGGAGGCCCCGTGGCCAGAAGCGGAGTCCGGGCACCCCTCAGCACCCTGACGAAGGCTGCGTCAGATACTTTGTCCTGGCCACCACGGCCGCAATCGTGGCTCTCTTCCTGAACGTCTTCTACCCGCTCATTTACCAGCCCCGCTGGAGATAGGCGCAGGCGCGTGGCCAGCTGCGCGAGCAGGGCCGCCAGGGCACGCGCCGTCCTAGGACGCTACGCGACCAAGACATCGGGCAGCAGGACAGAAACCGCCGGGAAGGACTAGCCAAGGGAAGCATGGGGCCGTCGGCTCCTGCCTGTCTGCTCTGGCATCTTCTGTGCCAGCTGGCAGGGCTGTGTGGCCAGCCCGCTGCCTTGCCAAGGTGCAGCCCAGAACCAGGAGCTCCTCTGCCCTCCTTTACTGAGCGTGGGATGGACCTCATGGCTACCTGCTGCACAGGAAGGGACATTGCTGCTGCAGCACAGCTGGGACCTGGGAGCCTCGTGGGCACATCAGCTGTCTCTGCTTGGCTCCCAAGAAGGAAGCGAAGACCTGCGGGAGGCTGCAGCAAGGGCAGGATGCCCTGACATGGGTCCTGGCTGGCCGCCTCTCTCAACTGTGCTGCTGCAGGAGTCTTGAGTTCCCTCTGGGCTGGCGCAACCCGTGGCTCCTTGGCCAGCTCAGTCTGTCCTGCCAGCCTCCCACTGAGCCTTCTGGTGCCAGCTGCCTGTGCACCAGGAGTTGTGTGCACTGCACTCCTGTGCTGGGGCTGAATGGGCTTGTCACTGAGGGCTTGTGTGCTTCCCTGCTCAGCCCCAGACAGCTGCTGGGGAGGGAGCCTGGCAATCTGAACTAGGGTGCCCATGGTGAGCACCTACCTCTCTGGGCTGTGGGCTCCCATGAGTCCTTGGTGCTGTGGGCTGGCAGCATTTGGGGATGTTGGTCTCTTCCGGGGGAGTGCGATGCAGCCCCTCAGTTGTGAGGGGACTGGCTGCCCATGCTGCAGGAGAGGCGTGGGGTTGGGGAGCACAGGTAGGACCTTGGTGCGTTAATAAAACCAGGTTTTGCAAAGAGATGCAGCATCCCTGTCCTGTGTGCTGGAACTCTCACACAGAGGCAGGGACCCTGCACTGGGGTCACCTGAGGCCACTCTGTGGCCCAGCTGGCACCAGGACTGTTCCTTGTGCTGGGTGCCTGGTTCACCCTGTGTGGCAGCAGGCTCAGGGGAAAGCTCTGCCTGCCAGTGCCATGAGGCACAAGCTGGGCTCTGGTCCCAGCTGTGGGGCGGTAGCCCTGTGGGACACGTGCAGGGCGTGGGGTGCCCAGCGGGGCCGGCAACAGGCGCTCCCCTGGGGCTGGAGCATGGGCTGCAGCTTCAGCGGTGTCTGACATTGAGACGTGTTGCCCTTGGCTCAGCGTGGCTCAGACAGCTCTGGCATATTTGGGTGTGCAAGGTGACTTCAGAGCCCTGTGACTTTCTTTTTCATCTCTGCTGCTGTCCTGCTGGCAGTGCCCTTGACTGGCTTGGGAAGGATGCTTGGCAGGGAAGGGGTTCACCTGTGTTTTTGGTTGAGGGCTTGAGCTGGACTCCCCCTACCTCTGTCCCACACCCCTCCTCCACATGTGCCGTGGTTTACTCCCTGCCCAAGCAGGTCCCAGCCGGGGAGCCCCGGCAGGGCTGTGCCGTGGTCATGAGGTGCCTGTCCTGGAACAGTCGCCTCATTGTCTGCAGCCCTGGGTCTCAGCGGCTTCCCCCGCTCGCCCACGGCGCTGGCCTCGTGGGGCTGAGTCAGTGCCCGGCGCCGGTGGGCTGACCTCTGCTCTGGCTGGCGCTGGCGCCATGGGGTTGGGGCCCACAAGCTGCTGCCTGCACCTGCCTGCCCTCGCTGGTGGTGGGTGGCCCCCGGCAAGGCCTGAAACGGTACTCTCAGCCCTGGAAATCCCCTCTGGTCCTGTGCTGTTCCTCGGGCCCCAGCAGGCACTGGCAGCCTGCCTGTGTCCCCTTGCTGCTGCCTGTGCTAAGCTGTGGAGCTCTGCTCCGACCAGCGCTGGCTGCAGCAGCCCCAGGGTAGGAGTGTGCTGCAGCCTGACTCTCCTCGGGCGAGCAGGTTGGGGCTGCCTCCAGGGGCTCTGGGCATGCTGCTCCCCTCTGCCCTGCTGTGAGGGAGCTGCTGCGCTCCAAACCCACAGCTGCACATGCTGCATGGGGTCTCCACCCTGAGGGGCTGTGTTCCCCCAGGCACCCCTCCAGCCTCCCGGGAGCAGGGAGGGAGATGGGTGGGTAGGGCACAAGTCTCCCTCTCGTGTCCTCAGTCGTCTCCCTCTCGTGGCCCTGGTCATCTCCCTCTCATGCCCACCTTCTGCTTGCAGGGACTGCCCCCGGTGCCGTTTGGATCCGGCCTGGCCCCCGAAGGAGCCCCGCCGCTGGCTGCGGAAGGCCTCCCTGAGCGCTTCGCCAGCCCCACCGAGCGCCCGGCCCCCTCCTACAGCAGCATGGAAGAAGTCGACTAGGGTGTCATGGGGTGCCTGCCCCGGGGGTGTGGGCCGGGCCAGGCACTGGGGGGGGGGGACGGGGGGAGGTCGGGGTTTGTCCTGCGCTCATTAAACTCACTGAATTCCACTTGCCTCTGCTGCCTGCTGTCCCCTGGGACCTCTGGTCCCTGGCAAGGCCCCCTCCCCCCCGCCTCTTCCCCCACGGCAGGATCTCCCCTGTGTGCTGTTGACACTCCCAGCACCCTGCAGCTCCAGGTGCCCTTGTGCTCTATATCCCCTCGTGTGACTTGGTGGTCGTGATCCCCTAATGTCCCCCAGGGACCAGTGCTTCTTGGTGCCCCCCAGTGCTGGCTGCACTCTACAGCAGGGGAGTGACACAGTGTCTTCTGGTGCCTGCTGCCTCCCTGCCGCTGACTGCACCCTGTTGTCTGGTGTCCCCTGGTGCGATCTTGCCGCCTTAGTGCTTGGTGTCCCCTGCTGTGCCCTGGTGCTGGTGTAGCGGGACTTGCTAGTCCTGTTGGTCCAGTGCCTGGTGTATACTGGAGTGCTCTGTCCCCTGTTCTTCCCTGCACTGTGTCTTGTTGCGTGCTGTCCCTCGTGCCCCCCTCCCCGGCGTCCCCTGGTGTGCCTTATTGCCTGCTGTCCCTAGCGCCCCGCTCCCCGCTGTTTCCCGCCGTCCCTAGTGCCCGCTGTCCCCCGTTGCCACTCTGTCCGTCGCTGTCCCTAGTGCCCGGTGTCCACCCGGCTGTGCCCTGTCCGCCGGCGCCCCCCGCCTCGCCCCCGTGCCGGTGCCAGAGCGTCGGGACTGCAAGTCCCGTCAAGCCGCGGGCGGTTGGCGCGACCAATGGGGCTCGGGGGGCGGTGCGGCCGGTCGCTGCCTCCGCCGCCGCCCGGTGCCGCGGCGCAGAGAGCCCCGGAGCGGCCGCGCGGCGCCGGCCCCGCAGCCCGGCTCTGAGCCGCCCGCCCGGCCCGGCCCGCCCCGCCGCGCCCCGCCGCCCTCAATGAGGTTCTTCCGACTCACCTTCAAGTGCTTCGTGGATTGCTTCTGAGCCCCCTCGGCCACGGAGCCGCCCCCGACCCGCCCCCGCTCCCCGGCCCCCGCGACATGCCCCCGTCCCCACCGACACGGCCGCCCCGCAGCCGCCCGACGCCCCGCGACGCGACGCCGCTGCCGCCGCCACCGCCGCGGCTCCCGCGGCCCCCGCGGGCTCCGGTAAGCGGGGAGCGCCGGGGAGGAATGAGCTTGGGGAGGGGGAGAGAGGGGGGCCCACGGCCACGCGCGACCGCGGCGCGCCCCCTCCCGCCGCCGCGGGGTGAGTCACCGCTCTGCATTGTGACGTCACGCGCCGGCCTGACATCTGACGTCACGCCCCTACGCGCGGAGAGGGGCGCGCGGGGGAAGTGCTTCCCCCCCAGCCACCCCCACGGGCGCGCGTGACGGCGGCGTGGGTATCCCCCCACCCCCCCGGTCTCGGCAGAGGGCCCCGGCGGGGCGGAGGGCGCCGAGCCCCCCGCGGCGGGCGAGGAGCGGACGGTGACGGCACCGCTGGTGCGACCCCCCGGTCCCCCCAAAGAGGCCGCCCCCGAACGGGAGACATGGACCCGGCAGATGGATTTCATCATGTCCTGCGTGGGCTTCGCCGTGGGGCTGGGCAACGTCTGGCGCTTCCCCTACCTGTGCTACAAGAACGGCGGAGGTGAGCCCCGCGCTCACCCCACGCCGCGGGGGTGCGCCCCGGGGCGCGGGGGGCACCCCCTTCCCACGGCGGAGTGTGTGCGTGGGGGTCACCCCACGCTGGGCCGGCTCGCCCTGCACCTCCGAGGGGCTCGCGGGCCACCCCGCGGGTGTTCAGTGTCACTCACGGGGCTGGGGGCCGTGGGAGCCCCCCGCCACCTGCCCGTGCTGACCTACATCGCGGCGAGGGGAGGGCGCGGAGGCGCCTTCGCCATTCGCTGCGCCCGGGCGGGCGGCGCGGGGAAGGGGGGGAGTGAAAGGGGGGACCGGGGGGCCGGTGGCGGCTGAGCCGGCCCCCTGCTCCCGGCCCCAGGTGTCTTCCTCATCCCCTACCTGCTCATCGTCTTCGTGGGCGGCATTCCCATCTTCTTCTTGGAGGTGGCTCTGGGGCAGTTCATGAAGCAGGGGGGCATCGCTGCCTGGAACATCGCCCCCCTCTTCACGGGTAATGCCACACCCGCCCGCACTCTGCCTGTGCCCTGCCTGCACCCTGCCTGCGGCCCCTGCACCCTGCCCGGGGCCCCCGGCACCCTGCCTGCACCCTGACTGTGCCTTGACTGCCTGCAGCCTGCTGGGGCCGGCGGCACCCTGCCCACGCCCTGCCTGCTCCCCTGCACCTTGCCCGTGTCCCACTGCCGCCCTGCGCCCCAGCCAAGGGTGGCAGCTGCCTGCACCTGTGCCCCATGGCACCCTGCACTTCCCTGCCTCCTTGCCTGCCCCTGTGGCTCCCTGCCTGCATGCTGCTGGATCCCAGGGGCTATCGGGTCCCCACCTCAGCAGTATCCTGCCGGCTCTCCCCTGGTCCTGTGCCATTCTGCCGGCTGTCCCCACCCCATCCTGTCCTGCCCGGGCTTGCCAGCTCCCCCTGTCCTATTTCCGCCAGCTCCCTGCTGTCCTGCCCGGGGCTGCCAGCTCCCCCTGTCCTGTCCCCCATCAGCTCTCCTCTGTCCTTCCCCATCCCTGCCAGCACCCCACATCCCACCCCGTGCCGGGTGCCAGGTGTCCACAGCTGCCTGCGGGCTTCGATCTCCCCGTGCTGCAGGTTTAGGCATCGCCTCTATGGTGATCGTCTTCTTTTGCAACTCCTACTACATCATGATTCTGGTGTGGGGGCTCTTCTATCTGGTGCACTCACTGACGGACACCCTGCCCTGGGCCACCTGTGGCCACTCCTGGAACACGGACCAGTGCACAGAGCTCTTCAACCTGGACCTCTGCTACAATGTCAGCACTAATGCCACTGCCAGCACTTGGACCTCCAACTTCAGCTGTGCCGACATGACCAACAAACGCTCACCCGTCATTGAGTTTTGGGAGTGAGTGTGGGAACCAGGAGGGTGTTGCCTGGGGCCAGGGGTGTTGCACCGGCGCTCAGATAGCCCTGCTCTGCAGGAACAAAGTGCTGCGGCTCTCTGGGGGCATTGACGAGCCAGGGGAGATGAACTGGCAGATGATCCTCTGCTTGGTCACCACTTGGATCGTCGTCTACTTCTGCATCTGGAAGGGTGTAAAGTCGACTGGGAAGGTAACACTGGCAGGGGCAGGACACTCATCAAGGCCACTGGCATGGGGGAGTGGGACTGCAGCACACAGCACTGCTGGCTCTGGCCCTCCTGTGCCACAGCCCACGGGAGTGCAAGGTCCCTGTCCCATGTGTGTCCAGGAGGTGCCACCAGTCACTGGGGACATTCCCAAGCTTTAGTCCCATTGGGACACCTGTGGCACATTGTGGAGAGCCCTGGCCCCGGGGGTCTCACGGGCACCCACTGCTCTGCAGATTGTCTACTTCACGGCACTCTTCCCATATGTGGTCCTCATCCTGCTGCTGGTCCATGGGGTAACACT